GGGCGGCGTTATGCAAATCTTCCCCGAGGCGTTTTAGGAGGGCGTGGCTGAGCGTTAGGGCTGCACGATAAATCGCATGCGATATTTAATGCGCATCTTGTTAGTAAAGCCGGTTCTGTAATCAGCGGTAAATCTCCATCACGTGCGTGCTTTCACATGGAGCAGCATTTACTACACAGAGCCGTTGTTCACTGACAAGCTGCGCTAAACTATGTTCATATATGATGATAAAGAATATCTCTTTGGGTTTGAGACTTTAATCTTTGCGACTTTACGGATCTTCTGTATGCACAAACAGCTTTTAACACTCCAAAGACAAAAGAAAACATGAAATTGCATCATGACCCTTTTAAAATGTATCGTGCATATACTACTAAATATATCATTTGATATTTATCTCAAATTCTTATAACAATAACAAATTATTTTTACTGACATAGCCATTTTTTAAATAAATTATTACTTTTATCCATGAAGGATGCATTAAATTGATCAAAAGTGACGGCAAAGACATTTATAATGTTACAGAAAATTTATATTTCAAATATAACTGTTTCCACAAAAACATTAAGCAGCAACTGTTTTAAATAATGAGAATAATAAGAAACGGTTTATTTATATTGTAGTAATATTTCACAATATCACTGTTTTCACAGTATCTTTGATCAAATAAATGCAGACTTGATTAGCATAACCCAGAAGATCCTAGAAATGACACTAGCAACTGCCTAGCAGCATCCTGACAGCCACTCAGAACACCTTAGTAACCGTTTAGAAACACTCACTTTAGCAACCATGTAGAAAATAATGAAGAAATGTTGCAGAAAAGTTACTGCAAGTTTTGAAAAGTCTTGTTGAAAAACAGTTATGAATGAGGATGTCAAAAACATTGTCCATGCTTAGCAACAGTTGACTTAGTCCATATACCGTATTGTCCCGAATATAAGACGATATTTTTTTCTTGGAAATACATCTGAAAAAACACGGTCGTCTTATATTCAGGGTCTAGACTTTATGTCAATAATACACCCACAACACTAGGTGGCGCCAAATACGCATAAAACGAGTGTGCCATGAAATACGTAATGTAATGCGTGTTGTAAATATCGCGAGTAAAAACAAAAGAGAAAGAAAACCTTACAGCTGCAGGTCGCCACCCAAGATGTTATAATCCCAAACTACAAACACTAGAACTGCAATTGTGTAAATAAGCTCCAAGTGTGAAATGAATTATTAGATTGATACATGTTAGTAATGAATTAAAACAAGGTGTATCCCACATCAGGCTTTTTCGCTCCTGTGTTCAAATCTTTATGACTCTATTGGGACCCAATCGGAAGACACTGAGCTCTTTTTGCACATTGCATCAACGGCCGCCCATCAAAGACTTAGGCGGAAGGTCTCAAAGTTCACATGTGAACTTGTCCTCATCTCCCTCCAGTCTTGCATCTCTCATCTCCTTGTCGAACACTAATCCTTTTGATTCAAATCTGCCGTCCCTCATACATACAAGGGATTCAGATGTGGAAGCTGGTTTGTATTACTGTCAGTTGGACTTCTGGCCTTGCCAAAGCATCAAAGATAACAACTCACTCACTCCTTTACGAGTCTGTCATAGTGCCAGATTTGAGTGTTTGGCATTCCTGGCATGGAATGTCAAGTAGAACGAACACATCTTCCCAAAACAATATAAGACTAGCTGAACAGCACTTGATTTAAAATGATCTACCTGCAGTCACACTTTATATGTTTCTTTAGAGATTACTCTTAATGTGGCACATTAAATTACTGCACTGTAATAAAATGGTTTGTCAATTAATCTAATGTACTTCATATTTTAACTTATTTTAATCAAGTAAAAAAAAGTAATATGACTGACTCAACCTGACTAAATTAAACCAAAAAAGTATTTTTAAGGTTCAGATTTTTAAAAATAAAATAAGTAATAAAATTAAATAAACTTGCACATTTTCACTTTTTATAATGTGTTTGTTTTTACTTATTTTCTTGCTTTACCTTTTGTCTGGATAAATCTACATGAACTAAACCTTTTAATAATTTTCATCATCAAAAACAAGTGTGTTTTAGGAGCCCATGCACAGTTAACATATTTGGTCAGGTAACACAAAATGTGTCTCTTATGGAACAGTTAACTAGCTTTATGTAGGTAAATATTATGTAATACATATTTAAACATTACTAATACTATTATTCATAATTACAAATAATTAATGTGAACTTTTTATATTATTTAGAAATGTTACTCAATATGACTGACTCAACTGAACCTACATTCAGTCATGTTTAAGAACATGTTTTGAAGAATATTTCAACTCTAATGAAGTCAATAGGGGTGCAAACCCCATTAACTTTCATTTACGAACAAAAAAACACTGAGACATGTTTCAAAATATCTTCTTTTGTGCTCCACAGAAGAAAAAGTCATACAGGTTTGGAGCAACATGAGGGGGAATAAATAACGACAGAACTGAATTTGTTGGGAGAACTATCTCTTTAAGGAAACAACTGCACATTTTCACTATTTACAGTGTGTTGACTAAAAGCACAAAGTATGTCACAAAGCATTTGAGGCATTCACAATTAGGGATGCAACAATTATAGCTTTTGTTGGTGCAGTTATTGTCTGAGGAATAATCACGGTTTTACGATTATGGCGATTATTATGCATTTATTCATTTCACAACATTACTAATCAAATCACATGAACACTCTTTAGATATTAAAGTGTAATTTTTTTGCTGGCTTTTGAAACAGAAATAACACAGTAACCAACAATACAGCACAAAATAATAATAAACAAAAGACAAACATATTTATTCATTTCACAACATTACTAATCAAATCACATGAACACTCTTTAGATATTAAAGTGTTATTTTTTTGCTGGCTTTTGAAACAGAAATAACACAGTAACCAACAATACAGCACAAAATAATAATGGATAGTAAATAACAAATTTAATGAAGTATTATGAATATATATTAACTTTATCCCACATGGGAAACTGTTATTATGATGGAAATAAACTGAAATATTATTGTAATCAACTGTCATCCATACACATTTATTTTAATAATCTTTATAATAATTCATATGATTTTACATGTGGCTAGGGATATGCCGGAATCAAATTTTCATGTTGCGATTAATTGCTAATGCTTTTATCACGGTATGCGGTATTATCACGATATTGAAATCTAGTTTAAAAAAGTGCTGTGATAATACAGTATAACAGGTTTAATAACATTTTTCTTATAACAAAAATAACTGAAGATTTAAATGCAATAAAGCAATACAGAAAAATTTATAAAGTTAAAAGTTTTACACAGATTAAAGTGCAAAAGAACTATAAAGACCAATAGGTATCACTTTACAATAAGACCTCATTAGTTAACCTTAGTTAATGCATTAACATTCACAATGAGCAATAGCTACATTTGCTACAGAAGTTATTAATCTTTGTTAAAAAAATACAAGTCCCTCCGTGTCTCTGATAAGCACGTCATTTTAAGCTGGTGCACCTTTAGTGTAACTTTGTTTCCATTTTGCACAAGCTGCAACAGTTCCATTCCGTGTAACAGAAACACTCGGTTTAGCAGAACCTTTACGATTAATTAACCGTGACGTTTTAAAGCGCGGTTAATCGCGAAACCGGTTAATCGCTGCATCCCTATTCACAATGGACGCATTTGATTAGAGGGACAGGGTGGCCAAAACTCACCTACGAACTCACTTTTTGTCAAAGTTTGTCAGACATGTTGCAGGACCACCAGTTTGCATTTGTTTGTCCACCAGTTGCATTTGAACAATAGATAAATGGTACTAGACATAGTAATGTGCCATCCTGAGCCGGAGAGCGGCCTTCGTTTGTATCTCCATGTTTAATTAGAGGAGTCTGAGTATGATAGGGCACAATGGTGGCTTTGTGGCCCGACTGAGGCAGGGAGGCTGCCAGACAGAATTAAGATGTGGCCCACCGCCAGCGCTGCTCCATGTGCTCGCAGTCTACTGAGGGAGGCCAAAAACAGAGCCGCCACCATCCCGCTTCAAATGAGCCCTGCCAGTGTGCTCCTCCATAGCCACCCTGATAAACTCATTGATAGCCGGAGAAAGACAATGCAACCCTGGCCAAATGCTTGCAACCCAATCCCGCATTCACATCAATGCTGAAGTAAAAAGCACAGAAGGCCAAAGAGAGTTAACCCTATTAGAAAATCAACCAACACAATTAGAGTAAAGAAGCAGTCAACCATCGTGTTTGGGCACAGTAGAGAAATGAGAGTTATGTGATGCTATGTGCACTGAGGCAACCTGTTTGCTCTTGATTTTCCACTGGTGCAATGCTACCAATTATGAAAACATCCAGTCCAATTACACTCTACTGCCATCTGTCCTTCTAATGTAAATCACAGAGAGTGAATGGGCATTCAAAATAGGACAAAACACCCGCACAGGGGCAGGGCGTGCAGGGAGGTGGGGCCTCAGGCATTCTGGGAAGCCTCAAACAGATTAGTCACACAGAATTAATCTAGACTGGAGAACAATGGTCGCCGAGCTTCTGGCAAACCCCAGCTGTCGTTCCATAAAAGAAAAGCGAAATACGATTTAGGGCTCCGGGTGTCTCCAAGACTTGGGCTGGAGAAGTGGCCCGTACTCACGACCAACCGGAGGGGGGTGATGCCCTAGACCCTCTTCATCAGAGGTTGTGTATGTCGTTCATTAGCTGAGGCCATGTTCTTCAAGGAGAGAAGCACACTTAGCTTTTATTTGCAAGGTTGGGATTCAAATTGATCGCATGTGTTCTAGTATGCAACAGTTTTTATACTGCATTGCTGAAAATTGTAAACTTTTGGAACCGGATCACAAAGAAATCTCATATCAGTGATGTGTGCAATTCAGAAACATTGTGTTAAATTCCTCCAGGGTATTGACATGGTTCAGAAACAGCAATTATATATGTTTGAGTTCTAATTACTTACCTGCATTCTCCTCTCCCATCTGCAGTAGGTTCACATGTACCACCGTTTTGGCATTTTTCTGAACATTCCAGGCCTAGAAACATAGGAAACAGGGTAATACATTTCTACTGAGTGTTGCATAATTTGATCCCATCTCAAAACTAATATATATTGCCAATTTTTTAAGACAAGATTTTTTTTAAATATTAATGATAATAATATTACACGTTCTTAACTTTTCAATTTGGTTCCAAACTGTGCAAAAGTTGGTAAGATACTGAGCAGAACCCAGAAAGAAAGTGTGACTCCTAACACCTTAAAGTGATGTTTGTGGACAGAGGGACTTGACAGCACACTGCTGTGAGCATTCTTCATTCTGCAGCTGTTCTGGGGAATGTACTATGGCAAGCTCTTTTAACATGTATTCCTTAAAACCAATTAATATCTGTTATGTTACTTTTACTTATTGTCTATACTGGTACTTATATTTAATTACTAGTAAGCAATCCAAAGTGACTAGTATATATTTTTTTTATTTCACTAATACCTATTCATTATATGCTATAGTACATTTTACAATAGTGACTGTCTATTTCATTAGCCAGTAGAACTATTTATTATCTTAATAGCTAAATTTTGTTTTTTTTACATGTCACATACAATGCCTAATCAGGACTTATTATGAAAAAAAAAAAATACTTGTAATAATTAGAGCCCGACCGATATATCGTTTAGCCGACATTATTGGACGATATAAGCCTGTCGCCGATATATCGTATCGGCGAATATGCCGTCGATATAAAATTTTTTTTTTACAGAACATATAACGCAGATTAAATTCTTCTGAATGGTGTAATTACTTAGTTTGTTCAGTCCGTTGTTTGCTACTGGTGACCCAGGTCAGTGTAGTGTAGAGATGCGCGGATGAGCTCAAACTTCACCCGAGTCCGCTGCTTCAAATTATCCGCCCGCCACCCACCCCCACCTATTTGATCGTCACATTACAATGATTCTAATTCTTAGTTTTGCATGATGATATGATAAATGGATGGCTCATTTTTAACAGCAGGTTCAGTGACGTTAGAGACTAGAGCTGATCTGCGCATCATGGCACGCGTCTGCGGCACATTAAAGCCTGTGTAACGGCCACCGGAGCTGATCACGGCTGGACTGGTGCTTATACCGGCCGCACCGCGGCCCAGAACTCATGCTTATCACATCGGTCACATCACATCGTGCAGCGCGCGTCCGGTGTATTTTGTCTTCACTGGATGCAGTAAACTGATGCCTCGTTCTATTTATGACGTGCTGACACAAAGTTCAAATGATTTTCAATGGTCGCTTTGTCACGTCCTGTTGCGGCGCGGACACGGTGTCAGCATAGTTTGTCAGTACAGTCAGTAACGTAGCAGATTGAAAAGTTAGTATCTTTCTGCAGTCCAATAGACGGAAGTGTGGGGGTGGCTTGAGTCTGTTGAATGGTGATTTAACGCTACGTTGTCACCTAGATTCTATATACAGTACCAGTCAAAAGTTTGAACATACGAATAGGAAGTGTGTCCAAACTTTTGACTATACTTTACTATAATATAGCCTACACATAAAGAATATCGGCCGATATGTTGGTATCTGTCTTTTTTTACTCCCTAATATCGGCATCGGCCCCCAAAAAAAACATATTGGTCAGGCTCTAGTAATCATTGGAATATACTAATTCTAATAAATACATGAGTACTAGGGGAGCTTAAAAAAATACTGCAATTTGAATAGTTACTAGAATAAAAGAGGTGCCAGCAACAATTGGAATGCATACTAGTCAGAGTTGAATAGATGTGAGTAAAAATTAAATGGGTACTTGTCACTATTTGGTAAGTGACTAAATGAATAGAATACTTTTGAGAAACTCAACTGTCGGAGTCTGTCACCAGTGGAATACATATCAATACTTACTAAATAAATTGCAGAAGACACTACTCACTATTAGATTACTTAAAAATAAG